CAGTGGTTGCTGCGTCAATAGGTAATGTTGTCACCGGGTCCAGATGCACACTGAGTTCATCAGTTTCTAAATGCGGTATTTAAATGCTTTTTGAGCTAAAGGATGACTGAGTCACGCAGTTCTACTTCACGCAATCAATAGACTGGCCCTGCCTATGTTAATAATGCAGGCTTGAGTGCTGAGAGCTGTAAAGCAGGTTTCGCCTGAGCAGATCTGAGATTTAAAATCTCTCAAAAGCGATTTAGCCGTTTTAGCTACAGTAACAATTATACAGAGTCGAATAAATGAAACCGAGAAGTCTAATTAAACAAGAATATAACTTACAGTGGTTGCTGCGTCAATAGGTAATGTTGTCACCGGGTCCAGATGCACACTGAGTTCATCAGTTTCTAAATGCGGTATTTAAATGCTTTTTGAGCTAAAGGATGACTGAGTCACGCAGTTCTACTTCACGCAATCAATAGACTGGCCCTGCCTATGTTAATAATGCAGGCTTGAGTGCTGAGAGCTGTAAAGCAGGTTTCGCCTGAGCAGATCTGAGATTTAAAATCTCTCAAAAGCGATTTAGCCGTTTTAGCTACAGTAAAAATTATACAGAGTCGAATAAATGAAACCGAGAAGTCTAATTAAACAAGAATATAACTTACAGTGGTTGCTGCGTCAATAGGTAATGTTGTCACCGGGTCCAGATGCACACTTCACAAAATACACATCCTGTAACAGTTTGGAGGATTTAGCAGCCTGGTATATTACACAGTTTTAGTGGCATATTTATATATATATATATATATATATATATATATATACACATGGTTGGTATTTAACAACAAGGGGTGTTGTACTGTGATATTGGTATTTATGGGAACATTTTACACCTTTCCTTCAAGTATTATACGTTTTAGTTACTTGTGGGCTACTTAACATGAATAATCACAGTTACTATCCTTTTACTCCATCACATTTCAAAAATAAATAGGCTATTGTTATTTTAACTCCACCACAGTAATCCATCGTCAGCTTTACTTTTTAGATAAAGTTTTAACTCACAATTGATCATAACAGGCTTCAACATATACATTTTTATATATTACCAAGTGGTTTCATGTACAACCCACACAAGTATCATGCTAAATGAAGCTCTGTTGCTTGGATATCACTAGATCCTGATGTCAGCGTAATATAAAAGTACATAACGATTGATGTGTAAGTTAGCATCATTTACTAGCTAGCCGCTAGCTGCTAACTGCCGCCTCGTTAATATAAATCCAGTACCATGCTGTCATGAACGCGCGGTGCTGTTACGTGTACGCAAATTCACGTGCTTAATGTGAACGAGCCTTTTGGGCGGCGTGGTTAAAGTTGCGCATGCGCTATGAGCGCACATACGGGTACTTCTCAGGCATGCCGGGTAATCTGTGACGTTTCGCTCTCTCAAAAATTGGGCCATTTTGTCATGCGCTATTGAGCAACTCTCATAGGAATTAATGAGGCCCCGCCTCCCACGCTGTATCCAGTTCTTATTATACATCCATGCTCTGTCCCCGTTATTTTCACAAACACCCCCGCCTCTGTTAGTACACATTTACTGACACACACATTTGTATCATCTGTTGTAGACCCAAATAAATACAATTAAATAAGAACTCATTCTCAAAAAAGATAAACGCCATTCTTAAAATGTATAAACGAACATTAGTTGGATTAATATTGATTAGAGTGCACAATAGAAATAAAATAATTGAGAGAAGAAAAAGAGATATGTTATCTATCAAAACCCAGTTAGATTAACATTCATTGGATTGCACACTTTGTTTGTTTGGATCTGTAGCAAATTAACATTTTAATAGCACTGAATGACTGACTGAATGGAAATGACAATAAATGAAAATGTAAAACGAAAAAAGCGAACATGAAAATGTTTCCAAAAAATGAATAAATAGATTTTTGACCCCTTTGCTGTTCAGATATATCACATATTTGTAACTAAATTATACATTAATTGAAACAAAACACGGTATAAACTGAGGAGTGACTCTAGTGAGGTTCATGTATTTTCTTCACTCCGCTGGGAAACTGCTCTCATGTCAAGAAGCATCAGATCAGTGCATGCACTGCCTCGTCCAATCAGTGAGCGATACACAGTAAGGGGGCGGGGCGAGTGTCTGAGGATTTCATCGGTCTGGTGGTTCCTCGGTTATAGCTCCTCCATTATCGCTCCTCGCTGCTCGGTCCTCCTGCAAAAATAAGGCCATTGGGACGCTACTCAAGATGGCGCAGACAAATCAACTTCCGGTGAGACCGAGACCGAGGAGCCAGGAAATGAAAAATAAGAGAAGTGAGAAGGGCCCCCTGTATTCACTCCAGCAGCCGGCGCCCTAACCACACCCCGCTGCCACAGAGACGAAACCACGAAACCCATACTGTGCATTATTTGCTGAGTGACACTTTTTAACACTGAATACATCTCTATGTTACAACAGCACCAGTCATGCAGTAGCAAAGGCATTTCAATGCCTTAGAGTCGTGCATTGGCTGCAAATAGACAACACTATAACACCTGAAACATCAGCATGCATTATCATATTGATTGGAAATTATTTTGGGGCAGATACAGGCACACATATGTGTATGTTGTCCAGAGTTTATAGCTTACAGAACTGTTTTGGAAGATTCTCCTTGTTTGTTTCCTGTCACAGGTTAATTATTTAGTTAAGCATCCATATCTTTGATTTAATCCCCATGCCAACAAACGTAATGATGCGCTCCATCATAATCACCCGTGACTCTTTTCGTGGTACACAGTAGCAGGTAAACACATCCAATCTTCTACTTGATTTTCAGCATTTAATATGTAGTCAACATGTATGCAAATCAGTATCTGAAAACATGTGGGTGAACCTTTTTTGTTCTTACTCAATACTATATTTAAAGGATGACAACATTTCGGGGGAAAAACAACAATGAAATTATTGGCTTTTGATTAATTTTCCTGACTAACTCACAGCACTGTTGCATAGCAGAGGGAGGAGGAGGAGGAGGAGGAGGAGGAGAGAAGCTCATCTCATCGGAGCATGACACACACATGCCCTCCTGAAGGGCTCCGATGTGACTGACACCTCTCTCATCTTTGCCACTCCAATTAGCTCGGTGACAGGGGCATGTGAAAAAAAGAAGAGACAATTATTTAATGTCCCCTCTCCTGCCTCTGTCCTCTCACCATCCTCCCTGTGTCTTTATCCCACCCTCTGCTACCTATATTTTCCTCCTAATTGTTCAACACTTCTTCCTCTTCCCCCCCCCCCCCCCCATTTTCCATTCATAGCTTGACAGGCTTCTCATTGTGTCCTCAAAGCATACCCCCCCTCTCTCTCTCTCTCTCTCTGTCTCCTTATCCATCCCCTCTTTCTCTGTTTCGCTGCAGCATGCCTACAGTTGGGGATGAAGGGGAGAGGAAAGGAGGGAACATGTCACTCAGACTGTGAGGCGTCCTCCTGCTTTCCACTCAGACCCACTGAGCAAAATCACTGTCAGGCATACCTCTGATGTAACTCCACTATTATAGTAAGCCTCGACAATCCACAAAACATGTCCTCTGTGGGATGCTTGACCACACCTTTGTCGAATTACGGAGGCAAACTGGATGAATTCTCCATTTATTAGTCACTAGAGTTAAATGTTTTGCGTACTTAATATGCACCCTGGGTTATTTAAAACACTGATGTCACTGCATGTTTCGGGGTGGGTCTGCCTGACTGGATGTTTAATGGTGAAAGTTTGCCACCTGCTGGTTATGATCATTACCTTGTCTGATGTCCTTCATCAAAGCTCTCTCTGATGATTCCCCTAGGAAAATAGTCTCCCCCTCCTGACATTTAGTGAGGCCAAATGTACACAATAAGCATTTTAGTCCGTTAAGGTCAAAAGGAAATTCTCGACATCAGACTAAAAGGATCAAATTAAAATGGCCATGCTGTCCAGAAACACAGTTTACATTTTGAAACGGCTTCAGGCATAAAGATGCTTGACATCCTCCGTGTCATTCAGTTTTTGGTCACTGACATAGAATAGGTCGTCTTTCAAATGCCTTAAGTTCAAGCCATGTATTCATTAACAACACAATGAATATCTGCCAACTGAAATGCAACACACAGTTACTTACATTACTGACTAATACTCCTAAATAGCTACTAATTCACTTGCAAATAGTAGTCAACAAAAACATGGTAGAGATTGCAATTTTAGCATATAGCGAAGGGAGTGTGGTAAGTTTAAAAAACAAGACAATGAAATACTAAAGACACCTCAGCATTAGCATTGTTATTATCTGGACCCTGAGTCTGTAATAAGTTTTCATTCATTGGATACAACAGCAGATTTGACAGGGAAAGTTAAGAAGCCTTATTAGAGACTTAAGACAACTTCCAACATGTTTTAATTACAGCATTTTATTTGTCTGGTTGACAGCTGTTTTCTGTGGGAATGAACCTGCTGTACTCTTACTGCAGAGTACTGAACTGCAGACAAAGTTGGCCACGAAAAGCTAACTGCTGGTAAACAGAATAGTGCTGCAGTTTGAAGCTTAAAAGCCAGATGTGTCCCTCATAGTTAACAGTTAGTGGAGCCCAAAACATAGACTTATAATAGTAAATATACTATACTTATCCTGTTTGCAAACATGGTTCCCGTAAGGTTTTTCTTACTTTTCTTCCTGCGACACAGAAGTGGCTAAATTAATCCCTTCCTGCAGGTTTAAATATAAAGCTTTTAGACAAGGCAGGTAATTACATAGCTATTTTAAGCTTAATGAATGAATTGCGACCTACTGTATGACACCTTGTAAAAAGTGATTATATTAGGAGAAATTGCTAACATTAAATCTTACGTGAGGATGTATGGAGGTCACATCTCATCAAAGCATAACAAAGACATGATGAGATAAATCTGAGAAAACGTATGCCATGCGATACAGTTAACGACAATACATCAGCACATACGACCAGTGGACATAGTTAAGTTTTATTATACTGGCATACATCAATGCCTCTGATCAACAGGAACTATAACTCAGCCAGGAAAAGTAGACTTTATAAGACACTTGCTGATCCATCATGACCAATGCTCAAGTGTCCTTGATCTTTATCTTCGTATTTTAAGTAAAGAAAAATGGTCATTAATCATTTCTCCATTACTGAAACTGTCATTCAATAATAGCTGTACAAGTAAAATGTTTTACTGACCATCACTTTGGCTAGGGCGGAAAGAAAGCGTAAAGGGCAGAAAGAGTGTTTTAGCACTTTCTCCACAGGAAGGAAACCCTCGAGAGACCCCCAAAAGGGCACTTTGACCAGTTGGGGGCACCGGGGTGTGGTTGCCCTTGCCAACTACCATAAGTCAACCAGTGCTGTAGAAGCCTGACAATGTGATCACTTTATATGTTTAAAAGAAAATGTCCCCCCAAAAAACTGGTTAGATTTTTCTTTTTGAATGTGTCATGGCACCATTTATTTATTAAAGTTATGCATAACCTTCTAACTTGATCATTGTACATATGTTGAACTTCATGACATTATTAGAATATCAGGCAGTCAGATCAGCAATGCCAACAGCAGCGGAAAGAAGCAGCATTTCTGTCAGGAGCCGATACAGAAGGAGCAGGAGCGCTCACTGTAGAAGAAGGGGAACGGGGCAAAATACCCAAGAGATGAGGAAGCATGACATATAGAGTGTGGGAGGGGATGAATAAGCATGAAAGCTACTGGGCCGGGTGGAAAAACAAAGGAGAAGGATGACACCCATAAGTGTATACAGGGAAAAGAAGAGGGAGAATCACACGCAGAGGAGAAGAGGAGCAGATGAGAGGCAAAGTACCCCTCACAGTGAGGAGGATGAGGAGGAAGGAGGCAGCACGAAAATTCAACAGGACCAGATCAGAGCCTTCAGACTCTTCATTCTAGTTAACACCAACTAGAATTTATCTGAAATTCTAGATTATAACACAATTCAAGAGGTTTTTTTTTAACACAATGGGATCTATCCATCACCAGTGCAACTCTGGCCTCTATCAGTCTGAATATATTCCCGCCACTTCATCAGGGTACGCTAGGCTACTAGGCTAGCGTGCTTGTATGCTAGCGTGCAACCAACACTCACACTAACCCTGTATGACTGAAGCAGGAAAAGCAGCCAAAAAGGTAACACCATGGCCAAAAGCATGCAAGCAATGTGGGAAACACTTTAAAAAAATGAAAAGAAAGAAAATAAATACATCTTGGGATAAAAAAAATCTTAATACATTATCTTAAAATTTTCCTTTTCTTGTTTTGTGTTTCATATATATATATTCTAAACACACATCTTTGTACATTTTGGTATCAGTTCTGTTTCTTGCAGGGAGGTCCGGGGGAAATGGGTGTTAGGTGGTGGAAGGGTGAGGTTTTTGGGGGCAATTCCACTTTCCTGATTGCCTTGTGCTGATGGAGGGGGGGGGGGGTGGGTGGCAGCATCACAAAAAGATGACTCCACCCTTCAAGCGTTTCTGCTCACACTCAGTCTCTCATTCTCTGTGGCATCCGTTGGCGACGAAAAAAAAACTCAGCAGTGAGAGGACAAGCTTATAGGATGTCCAGAAAAGTCCAGGACACAAGAAGTAGCGGTACTTCCTCTTTGGGACCAAAGCCAAAAGCTGTGGTACGGACATCAACTATCTCTTATCTGGGGGGAAAGAAATTAGGCGTAGGATCAGAAAAAGGATGGAAACAGGGAGTTATCCACATATTCAAATCCATTTATTCACATGTTGCCACTGAGCACAAAGTTATATACCTTTGTTTCCATCCATGTCTGCTGCTGACCTCTCTGGCCTTTGGCGTATTACATTATTGTATTTGGCCTCAACGTCCTGGAAGAGAAACCATTCACAGTGAGATCAGACAATTAAAATCCCCACAATGTGGAGTGGATTTATAGGATCATGTGCTGGTGAGTCAGTGACTGTTAAATACCTTCAGATAATTGAGGTTGGCCTGAAGGTTTCTAAGGTGAGACAAGACCTGTCTGCTGAAAGAGGAGAGGCTGCCGGCCTGTGACGCTGAAGAAAACCTCAGGTTGATGCCCGAGTCGGCGGCGCAGCCCTGTGAGGATCTCAGCTGCTTCCCTGTGTTTGATGCCAGGATGTCATCGTCTGTGCTGCTCTCCCCTGGGCCGCCGTACCCCTCCAGGACTAAATACCCTGCTGAGAGATTTCAAAGAAGTCTTTTATTACTAATGCTGTAAAAAAAAAATATGGAGGATCAGGGAAAGAGCACTGAGAAAGCTGCACCTCACAATGACTAAAGGTGGATTTAAAGCTGCGTTCAAAACAACTGTACAGGGATACAGCACACTACAGACTCTCTTGCAGAATGATTGCATCAGCTGGGACGCCATATTGACAATCTGGCAATAATGCACATTCTATGTACAATTTTGCACTAATGTACATTCTCAAATATTGAAGTGACTGTTATTTTGTATATATTGATTATGTTTTTTTATTTAGGTCTTATTTAGATTGTGTGTGTATATATATATATATATATATATATATATATATTTGCACACATATTTGTATATAAATTTGTTTTTATATTCGGGATTGTGGGAAACGGTACTTCGATCTCTCTGTCTGTACACACAAACTGGAAGATTGACAATAAAGTTGACTTTGATATTGGGCCATTGGGATTAAGTGTTAGCCAAACCCTAGGACTACAGGTTTAAAAAAATACACATGTTACTTTACTCCTGCTTTTTGTTTGGCTATATTTCCACCAATAATGTGAGGTGAGGATCCAGGGTATATGCAGGAATCCTGAGGTCAAATGTAAGACCTTTTAAGACCTTTTTCATACATTTTAAGACCTCATCGCCACTTGGAGCTTTAACCGGTTACATTGGCGACACTTTACCTCACATTTACTATATACTGTATTGAACGTCCTTCCTCCTTATCTTCCAACCATTTGGACGCAAACTTGCATTTCCCCATAACGATGTTGTTTAACAACCAGCGTAAACAGGCCTTCGCGCGCTATCAGTCAGTGAGCGTGCGATGTCCTGTTCAGATGACGTCAAATACAACGGTTTGCCATAAATAAACTACACAGAATCACACTACACACCTACGCAATGATTACATTCAGGCACACTGTAGAATACAACCTCTTTGGACAATTTATATATTTAATGAAAACAAGCTACAAAATGTAATACCTTGGAAAATGCCGTTTAATACTTTAAAATATTTTTTTTATTTTCGCTAAATTGATTTATCAACTTTTAATACTTTTTAAGGCTCCGAGGACACCATGGAATCTGCTTCTTCAGTCCATTTAAACCTAGAGCGTACGGATAATGACAAATCATTTGTTCCCGCTGTCCAGGCTCACCATAATCTTCAGGAGAATCAAAGAAGCCCGTGTCTCCAGAGCCCAGGTCCTGAGCGGGGTCCTCTGTCTGGGAGCTGTTCTTTTCTGAGCCGTTGTGGACCATCACCCGCGCTCGGCTGTCCACGGGGGTCCGCAGCGAGGTGGTCCTGAGGAGACGAGCCCCCGTGGAGCGTTTGGTTTGCTCCAAGGCCTCCTGGGACATCAGCTGGGTCACCAACACCTGCTTTAATGCTGCCACTGCCGCAGGTGAGGACAGAGGTTTATGATTTTTATTTTTTAAATAACTTACAATATCACTTTATTTTTGACTGACTGTGCTTACATGTTTTCAGTGCTTCATCTGCTCTGGAGGGAAACATGTTAAACGAGTCTCCTTCTTTGACATTTTCAGCCACTCGGTAAGGAAGCTCTGGGTCCACAAAACCTTCCTCCTCCTCTTCTTCCTCTGCCTTTACTCTCTCAAATGGATTATTGCCTGGTAGAGAACTCGTCACGCTTCTAGGGGCTGGACTGCTCTCTTTATCTGAGGGGGTTTAATAGGAGAAGGATTATCTACACAGTTGAGTAGAGTGGAATATTTAAAGTAATGCAGAGGGAGAGAAATGTTTCCGCAGCTACCTGTGGACTGGGTGCTGCCGGTGGACGTGCGGTCTGCATCTCGACTCAGCCTGGAAACCCCCGCTGTGATGATCTCCACTCCATCCCTCTCCCCACTGGCACACAACAACATCTTATGTAACAAACAAGCTTTGGTCCTGCGTATCATCTGATCAAATTAGAAAGACAACATACTCAGTCTGAGGTAATGGTATGACGCTGTGAGGTTTGACTTTCATGGCATCAGCTCTCTGGGTGATTAGACGCTGCCACCTTGTTCAAGGGGAAAATAATAGAGTTATTAGCCCATTCAACCACTAGAGCAGTACAACTATAAGTGATCAATCTAAAAAGGTACTCATGCTTACGTTTTCTGATCTGAGACTGTGGGCGCCATCAGCTCATAGATCTGGGCTCCGTTTTCTGACATGGACAGGACGAAGAAGGACTTGTGGTCTGGCAACAAAGAGTGTGGATAAGACTTTCTTTAAACCATGTGTACAAAGTACAATAAACCCAAAGAGAGCAACAGTAAAAGGAAATACAGGAGGAAAACAAATATAAATCAGCAAACTAAACTAATTAAGAGAAGTACAATTATCAACTTGCATAGTGCATATGGAGTGATTCTCATACAATCATTTGAAAGGGATATAATAGATGTATCTAATTTTGCCTAAGCCTAATATCCTTAGGCAGTTTGTTCGACAGTAATATATGCCCAGAAAATAATTGGATGTTGTATAGTGAGGGGTTACTGATAATTTTTTTCTGATCAGTGCATATCAACTAATTGTTTTGCCAATTTTGAAGTTGTAAAACAGAAAGTAGGCTGGTGTGAACTGACCTGTTGCCACAGAGCGCACCAGCACAGTGTTGAGTTTGATGATGGGGCTGAAGATGTGTTTGGTGTCTGCCGTGCCGGCCAGGTTTTTACTGTGACACTTCAGGATCAGCCGCTCATCTTGTTTCTGTAGCAGGACCAGAATGTCCTGCAGGAGGAGTGTGTACAACTCTGAAAGGAAACACAGAGGATACTTGGATTTAGTATTTGGTAGAAGTATCTAAATTAAAGTAAATGAATCTCTTATAATGTGCTGATTACAAACCGATAGTTTTGTCCTTGTTCACTTTCCATGACAGCGGTCCCTCATGCACCATGGTTCTCTTGGTTAAATCCAAATTCTGAAGAGGGTAGGACGATAAAGAGTTAAGCTTATCCATGAGGCCATTTCCACATTGCACTCCCTTTGTGCCAAGCGTATATTTCAAACAGCGAGCGTGGGTGTACACCAAGTGAGTGTGCTTAAACTGAAGCTGAGAGGGTCCTGTATATAACTCACCTTTAGCTCAAGGATCATGGGGTTGTCTGTCTGCTTCAGAGAGGAGAGGTCCAATCTTCTCTGATAGTCCTCCAACCTCTAGAGGACAGACGGAGAGAAATAGGAAAGAGGATAAGAAAGCGCTCCTTAAAAAGGGAGCCACTGCCTGGGGAGCAGTACAAAAATAAATTGTGGTGGAGAGGGAAAAAAAAAAGGGAGGACTTAGGATGAGACTGAAGGGGGAGGAAGAGAAAAGTCGAGGGCCTGGTGTGAAAGGGAAAGGAGATTTTAAAAAACATCCTACCTGCTTGTCCTCAGATTCCTTCACAGCCTGGTTGACGTGATTGAGGATCTTTCTGCAGCAGTCTGCCGCCTGCTTCACTTTGTCCTTCTCCACTGTGTTGTCTGAATGACATTCAAAAAAGACGTAAGGCCTCAGTTCTGTGGGGGGCTGTCCGGCAAATTGATATTTCCTCTGTCCATTAACACATCATTGTTCCCAAGAAATATGATAAAGCAGGGGGAATTAAGATCCCATAATAGCTGGTTATAGATTATCATTAGTGCATTCTCTCCGTGTGAGAACTAAATCCGGCCAAGACTAAAATGATGGACCAAATAATGGGACACATTCCCGAAACGCGCACTGCTCGAGGACCATTAAAATGCAAATCTTGCCATTTGTCTCTGTATTTCACTAATAGCTGGCACGTTGCCACAAAGACTTCATTTTTATTCATTTTCTTCCATCTCAAAAGTTCAAATTGTATCTTTTGCTTTTTATAGCATTCAGAATAGGAAAGGCAAACTAGGTATTAATCCATTATTACCCGTTTCCATGGTTACTCCAAGATGAGTCAACTAGTTTCCATATTGAAAACATTGACTCTCAGAATGTAATTGACTTCAGGATCACAGAAAAAAGAGCTGGAAGAAATAATAGAAATCTTCCCAAGCAGGCAGGTTGCAGCAGTGCAGACAAAGTCTAAAACACTAGGCAATAGAAGATGGAATGGAGAGAATAATAATAGTGGTTTGCAAATGCGATTTTTAAAAGTAGATCACAATGTCTCTCCTTGTGACAGGTTCAGTAATTGACTACGTATTTGTGACTGAGTGGAACAGACTTTGAAGTTTTTGAAAAGTAGTTTGTATGAATGCACACATTCCTCCTGCATGATGACGTCAGTAACGGCCCGTCCACACACAGGCATGAAAAAAAAATTTCAAAGCTTCGCCCATTCACTTGAATGGGGTGACGTAGAAGATTTTGAATCTTCGCCGAACTGCATTGTGGGGAGCGGAGCATGGCTTTGCAAGCATCGTGAGCATCAAAAGTTGAGCAATGTTCAACTTTTGATGCTCCCGATGCTTTCGAAGCTGGCATCAGCCAATCAAATCCCGTTTATGCAAATCCCGCCAGTACAAGCGCTAGCCAATCAAACCGCGTGCAAGCTGGGAGAGCCAGACCGCAGTTCATTTCCTCATATTCCAAACGAGAAATTACGGTAGCAAATCATCCGGTTCTTTACGACCAGAACTATTTACCGGGATACAAACCGGAGGAACCAGGCATGGAGGGAGGTGGCAGAGACAGTGGGTGAAACTGGTAGGTTTTCGCCTGTTTGGGGAGTTCATATCCAGTTTACTTCGTTTTAACATTGCTATTGCTTTGTATGTCGGGGGCGGGAGATTCATGTGATAGGTTGTTGGTCGCGTTGCTCGCAAAAAATCGCCAAGCTTCAGACACGCCCAGCATCAAGATTTTTCAAGATTTTTTTCATGCCTGTGTGTGGACGGGCCGTAAGGCTTCATGCGCTTCATGAGCCAGAATAAGGGTCTTATCTGGCAGGTGCTACACTGAATCCATTTATAGTCTATAATGAAGCTGCAGACTTAGTCCAACGTCAGAAAATTAAATAACAATTACGTAATTGCTTAGGCATCAATTCACGGCTTTCGACTTGTGAATATTGACTTGTTTTTCCACTCTTCAGGGAGTCATTTAAACATTGGACTCTGGGAACTTGTAATGACAAATGTTATTCTACACCACAAACAATAAATCAAGAAAATAATCGGTAAACTTAAAAATAATAATCGTGAAAAGAAACCAATCCTACCATTACTTAAAATGCCAAATTTCCCCATGCCATATTTTTGGTTTATTCAAGAGTTGTGTTTTTAATCCTTGTTACATCAAAGACAGTCCGACAGTTTGAATGTGGATTCGATAGTGCATAATAATCGTCACTGCAAGCTGTTGTGAAGGAACTCAGATTAGTAAGGCAACATTTCAGCACCTGTGTACTTGGCGATGTTTTCTAGCAGCAGGGGGTACTTGGTGAGCCGCTGCATCTCCACAGGAATGATGTCTTTAAGCTGCAGTCGGCGACACTGTCTGTTACTCTCTGCCTCCTGCAAAGCAACAATACAAATAAAAAAGAGTTTATGTGAAGTTCAGCTGTCACTTAACAAGATATATCGTTTAACAAGTATACATGGAGAATACGTAAATGTAGCAACAATTTTGAAAGCCTGTAGTCGGTACCTGGACGAAGGAAGTAAAGCGCGAGTCCTTCTTCTGCTTGGTTTTGATGATTTCCAGAGCAAAAGGCTGGTTGCTGCAGAACGTCCCCACCGCCTTCTTGATCTTCTCCTCCTCTCCCCCGCCGAACTGTGACAATCCAACACAAGACGGCACAGGACAGAGACGGTGATCAGTCGATGTGGGTAAGGGTTAGTTGTCATGGAAATGTCTAGTATTTAACCACTACAATGAGAAGAAACTCCCAGAAGGGGGCCAGGCTTACGACCTCGTAGCAGAGACAGCTTAAGTTTGAATGTAGACTAGATCATTGCTCGGACCCTCAGGGGACCGTTTAACCTACTTATCCCCCATTGAGAGATTTTAGACAAGGCTGCCAGCTGATATGCAGGAACTCACATCTAATGCATCACACATGATGTAGAGATGTCAGCCAAATCTGGGGCATGCGCTGACATTACCATTTACTGAGAAACAGGCTTCAATTTCACTCGCTTGCTTCCGCTGTAATTGCTCTGCAGTGTTTTTTTGCAGCATGTCTAAGGTCTTGTTTTTCGGGATTTTGGTATAAGATTTATAGTATTTTATGCTAACTCCTTCTCTAGTATATATAAACTGTACATACATATTTTCAGGTGCACATGACATTTTTTTTAAATGAGCACAATTTAGGCTGAAGAAAGTAATCTATTACCATTCATGTTTTCTTTCTTGCTATGAAGCAATTTTGGGCAACAGTTCAATTTCTTTGTGCAAAATGTATTTTTTCACATCACATCAGTCATCTTGAAAATGTATTCAATATAAGAAAATGTTTGAAAGGGGAAATACAATTTCAGCCAGAGAATTGTACTCACCCAGGAGAGCAAGTCGTCTCCTATCTGATCAATTACCGAAGACTCATTTCTCTTCCGAACAGCTGCCATTTGCTCCAGTATTGAAGCTGAAATTCAAAGGAGAGCACCACATTGACAGTCACTGCGTGTTTGTGAGTCTGCATGTGTGTATATAAGATAACAAAGATGAAGAATACAACATGAAATCGTGAGTACTGTGTGTAATGCTAACTGTTTGTTTTAAAATTCATATTCATATTAAAGGCCTATATTCTTTGATAGATGTCAGGGTGTGTGTGTACCATGCAGCTGTAGAATCTCGTCCAGGTTAGTGAAGATGTTCTTGATGTCTGCAGGAGGCAGGATGGCCTCTTTGGAGAGCTTCTGGTAGAAAACATAGTCCAAAACTCTCAGCATCCTCACATGCGCACGCTCTGTATAGAACAGCTCTGTAGACACAAGGCAAGATGTTAATCCAAGATGGCAGAGCATTTGCACGGCTCAACATGATGAACTATTTGACAGCAACTTGGGTCTGATCCCAACAGCTGCCCCCGCTGCATATCTCCGTCTCCTCCCTTTTACTCATTTTGTATCCTTTGAAAATATATTTGGCTTTAATGAATTGTCAAACAATGTGAAGAGCTAAGCCATGTCCTCACCATTGATGACTTCCTGTCTCTTGATTTCCTGAGGCCTGAGACCTGCTAGGACCTCTCGCCCCACCAGCTGCTGCCAATTGGGAGGGTCGTGCTCTGAGTCCGTTCCCTGGTCGTCCTCGCTCTGAACGTCAGCTGCAAGCAGTCCCTCAAGCCTAGGGCAAGACGGAAAGTCAGCTTTTCATCTGGCTTCTAAAATACCACCACTGCTTATTTTATTAGATATTCATTTTCAAATAGACAGGTGTCCTCACCTTCTTATGGCCTTTGGTGTTCCCTCATGGGCCCTACAACAAATATTAATGGTAAAATGAATGTTAAACATAAATATATTCAATGTAAGGAAGCAGAGGTGTAAATGAGCCTGTAAATGCACCTGTCGCTTTCTCTGTCATCCTCTTGCAGCGGGTCATGGCTGTAAAGGTCAAAGTGCGAGGCAGGGTACGCCAGCCCATCAAGAGGGTCCGTCTGAAGGCCGTCACTCAGCCTGGAGGGGCCTGAGGTCGGAGTCCCGCCTGAGAAACAAGTAACAAGTTAGAAACCATCACTTCCTGACTTTTTATTCAGTTCAACTGTTCAGTAACTCACCCATATCAGCGTCTCTGCTCGTGTCTGAGCTGTAGGTGGCGCTGTTTGGGGACGAGGTGTTGACAGACATTGAGTGTGTGAGTTCAGAACCTTCACTCGATTGGCTGCCTCGCAGACGGCCAGCTTCCATGTGATCAGCTGCCCCAAATGAAGGCTGAGATAACTGTTTCTGCGGCCGGGGGCGACCTTCCAACGCTTTTCCCACTGAAAAAGAGAAAGGCGGAATCACATTTGATAAAGATTTTAAATCGTATCATCGTTTCTATTCAATTCCTTAAAAGTCCTAACTCACCTGATGTTGTTTCAACACGGCTGGGCCGACGCTGAGGTCCAAGGATACTGGGAAATCTGGGTTTCTTCACCTTCTCTTCTCCCTCCTTTTCTGTCTTGATGCTTTTCTGTGTTTTATTAAAACAAGGGAAGTTTCAGGTAGTTGACAAAGAGATGGATAGAGAAAGGCAGAGGCGTATTGTGATAGAAATGTATTGTGACGTTATATTACCTTGATCTTGGGAAGAAAGTTGATCCTGACCCGTTTGGACTCCAGACTGCGAGGTTCCTTGACCCTCACACCAAGGAGCTTCATGTATGTATAGATGACATACTGCATTGTAGTGCTAAATGGAAAATCAAAGTGACAACACTTGAGTTTAGTTGCTACAATTTCAATACAAACCGACAAAACAACAGGATGCAGATATTCGAAGTGTCCATATTGTGACTTGCACCATATGTCATGCCAGTCCTTCTCGTCAGTTTTCTACACAAACCATCTGGGTTGTGCTGTGACCATATGGTGTTTCATACAAGAATTTTCAATCAGTCACACTTTTAAATTATTTAATACAAACACACTGCATAAATTACATGTTTTTTTAAGAGACTGCCTCAGTGTTTAATTTGTAAACTGTAGGGAATGTAGAATGGGGCCTGGATGATACCAATATGTTGTGTGTTCTTGGCGGGAACATCAAAGGCTTTACTTAAAAAATTACTACCATTGACATATATTATTAATTTAACTCAAGATGTTTTAAATAATACATTCAAAGAAGTCTAATGAACTAATAAATAAGTTATTTAAGACACATTACAGACTGTAAATGCAATTTGAGAGGAAATCTACATTTTAAACAACTCAAGGTCAGAACAACTCTGAGAAGTATGAGTTTAACAATCTGTGGGGTGATTTTATGGAATGGTTTGGAGCAGGAGTTCAAACAAAGCACAAGCATAATTCAGTTTAAAAGGATGTACAGAAACACTTTTTGGGAAAACTATGAGAATGAAGAGAGGTGATTGAAGATGAGAAATTATTGTATATGTATAAATGTAAATGTATGTAGGAATAACTTGCATAATGATTTAAAGGACAATCATTGATCAAGTAAGGGGTGGGAATTAATAAGCATTTGCTTCCTCCTACTCCCTTTCGGACACATATGATTTATTATTAATATGAAGACATTTTTAGTTTTTTTGTTGAATATACAAATATTACCATGAATGTGGATAAATACTGTATTATAACAATACGGTATTCTGTTTTTCACATTTGTTATTTGTTATTTTTTAATCTGTTCGAAATAAAGACTGAAAGAAAGAAAGAAAGAAAGAAAGAATGACAACACAGATAGTTTGAAGGGCCATGAAAGCCCCTGAAGTCCTGAGTGATCCCCATCATATGCTTTGAGTTATTATCTCCATATCAATAAACAAAATGCTCCACAATATAGGTGTGCTTACCATCTCTCCTCCTCTGTTGTGTGAGTAGTTAACCTATAAACAATACACAGAAGAAAAGTCTTAATGGCTGAAAATGGTTAAAAACATGAAATATGTGTAAACACTTATCACAAGTCTATATGTGTGTTATGAAACTGTGTGTGTCATGCTACTTACAGGATATCCTCTATCTTGGTGATGATGTTCTCTGCGTATGAACGCTCTCGCTCCAGAGTGACCCGGTCTCTGATTCCCTCTTGGTCCAGTCGGGACAGCTCCACTTCAGCCACGGTGAGGCCCATACTGCGCTTCTGCCTGCATGTGCCAACACGTGAAATACTGGGGTTAGGTGCATAATCCCCTTTTTAACATTTGCTCAATGAGTGAACCACATTCTCAATTGCAGAACCTACCCAGCATAGAAAATAAAAACTTTACCTGAAATCCTCAAGGTTCTTCTGTATTTCAGGGAGCAGAGAGTCCTGCAGCGTTTGAACGTGTTGTCTGTTTATTTCCTCAGGGATCAGTTCTGTCCGCCGCCGGTCTGCAAACACACACACACTAAACTATACTGTACTGCCAAGTCTAAAGGGATTATTTCAAGTGCACACTTAATATGCGCGGTCAAAGTTAAGCAATAGTTTCCAAACCATTAGAGCATTTGATTTCTTAACACCTTAGTTGGGAGTGTGCATGGCTCACAGGACTGTGTAATGAGGATGGCCTCAGATGTACAAAAGCTAAACTAGGTAAATTGCCTATTGAAAATGACAGTGAGCAGACAATCAAATGAAGCACAGCATGAAATACTAACCGAGATCCGTAGAGATGGATTCAGGAACAGCGACTTTCAGATTCTGTAAAATAAATAAATAATAATGTTTTATACTTCAAGAACAAACTGGATTTAAGGTCAATGTCAGTAGAGACAATATATCAAAGCACTCAAGATTATTAAAAATGAAAACACTGTGTTCTGACAAAATGTGGTGAAATGCATTTCATGTGTTCTTGTCAAAATGGAATCAGTGATAACATTTATAGATTATGGATAGAGATATATGTTCCTGTGCAGAACAAAGAGTGTACCAGTGTTGTAGTCAAGTCACCAATTCACGAGTCCAAGTCACTCTCGAGTCCCCACTTTGAGTCCGAGTCACCTAGGGAGTGTCCGAGTCGAGTCATCATTACCTGTGTTCGAGTCGAGTCCAAGTCCGAGTCACCCAAGAAGAGTCCAAGTCAAGTCTGAGTCACAGTCTTCATGTATTAATCTTAGTGGATATGTGTGTTGAAATGCAGCTAACTATATTTCAAATGAGTTACCTTTTATTATATTTGTATGCTAATATTTTCTTATGCTAAAGCTTTCGTCTTGCACTTTTATTTTGATAGTTATAAGATCGGGACTCTTATTTTGAAGGAATTTTACCGGAAATCAATGGACAACGGAGCAGTGTAAACACACATGTATAATGAAGGATAAATGACGAATAAATTAACATATACTAAATAGTTACATTGGGTTTTTAGCACCTGGCTGATAAGGGCACAAGTTCTTATGTTGGTAATGATTGTATAAAAGCAAGGGTGTGCAATAAACAGATACCATCAGTTGGAGAGTCTGGCCATCATTCAGCCGCGGACGCTACAATTATTATAGTGAATGTTTAAATTCTATCAATAAAGATTAAGCCCCAGAAAGCACATGGCTACTTAGCAAGCAAAATGATGACATTCTGCATGTTAAGTAGCCATCTGCTTTCGTGTTATCGGCTGAATCTTTATTTATTGATTAGATCACATTACTTAGATAATAGTGTTCAAGACAGCCTATATGTCTGAACTTGATCCTTCTCTTCAATCCTTTTTCCACATAACGAGCATTTTGCGCTGCTCTTTCCCAATGTGGAAGCAGAATGTGTGAAAGCATACAGCACGATGCGGGGTGTGTCTCTGGACATCTCTAGACTGGAATAGCTGGGCCCAGTAGGTGAACTCGCCTCGCAGGATAGAGGACATCAGACTCCAGAGAAAACTTGCTCGAGTCCGAGTCCAAGTCGGAGCGTCAATGTACAAGTCGAGTCCGAGTCATCGTGGGGCAAACATTCATGAGTTCGAGTCCAAGTCACCGTGCACGAGAATTCACGAGTCCAAGTCCGAGTCGCGTCAATCAGTGCGCGAGTCCGAGTCGAGACACGAGTCCCAAAAATCGGCACTCGAGTCCGAGTCCAGGAGTGTACTCACTGCTCCACCGGCAATGAAGAAGTTGTGGAAGTCCATGAACACCCGTCTGGTTTCTTTGGAGTTGGTCTGCTTGTAGAAGTCAGCATAGAGGTAGCACAGCTGAGGATATAAGATAACAAATAAATAAGTGAGCTGTAGTGTCTGTCAGGGTGCATGAGAACAGGAGGATAACACAGAAAATATTGTGACAGGAGTTGGTCTTACCACAGGAGCAGGGTCGAACTGAGAGAAGACGTGGTGAAGGAACGCTGCGAGGTGGGCGGGACGAGACTTGAGCTGCTCGATGTTGTTAAAGCTGTTACACTGGCCATTCGTCTGGAACAAAATCAATTGAAATCAAACAGTTTGCACTCTGGTTATCTTTGCTGACTTCACATAGGACACAAGTTTGAAAAAAATGTTATTTGCCAAGAAAAATGTATATTAATTTTAAATACATGAATATGCCAGCCATTACAGTATTATGAGTGACAGATATTTAGATTGCTTTGTGGTAGAGTACCTGCTCCTGGTCTGAATCAAAATAGTCGTCCTCAGCTCCAATGATTTGTGAGACAAGGCGAGCGGAAGTGGGACTGCTGACTGTGGTAGGAGACAGAGAGTCCTGGGGAAAAGACGGAGCACATTTAGAACTACTGTTTTCAAAAGAAAACATTTCCATTTAAACATTGATAACCCAACTAAATGTGGGGTTTAGTAGCTCTAAGATAAATTATTAATCAACATAAAATAATAGCCCTATAATGCATGCTGAAAAAAATGCAAATAACACATTTACACCAGTAGAGAGAGTGAAAAAGTGAATTTCTTACGCAGAATTTGCACTAGGTCAATTAGTATATTTACCAAGTCAGTGGTGTCCTCGGCCTCCGGGGAGTGGCAGGAGTTGAAGCTGTTCCTGGCGGTGCTCTTGGGGCTGGGGCAGGATGACCCTCTTTGGTAGAGACTCTCTGGAGATCCAGGCCCGAAAATGCGAGATATCTGAGGAGGGATGTAACACAGCATTAGATTCTGAATCAATGTAAAATGATCAAAATGATTCTCCTAAAAACTACAATACAAGAAAGTATCATAACCGAAGCTAAGCAGGGCTAGTTAAGACTGATTCATCTAAATTAGCATGAGGACATTAATGTATTGCCCTAAAGCTACCTAGTCTCTGAACAAAGGTTTCATGATAAGTTCAGTGATACATTTAAATGATGTTGGATAGTAGTGGTGACTAGGGCTGCACTATTTATCTAAATGTTAACAAAATTGGAAAATGGAGTACTGTGGTGTCCCGGTCTACAATATTATACAGGCTTTTGGTGCAGATCCTCTAAAAAAAAAATCAATAGTACGTTTTCAATGATATTGAGAATTAGGTATTAGGTATTGCCCTGATTAACCCCTTAAATATTGTGAATAATATCGCAATTTCAATAGCAGTCATAATGATTGCAGTTAGTTATTTTTCCAAATGGTACAGCCCTGGTGCTGACGACTTACAGGAGAGTTTCTCCAGGACAGCTCTGTGCTGTAGTCTCCCTTAGAGGCGGGAGTGTGCTCCCTCTCATCGTCTGCATCACCACCTGGAACAGCCTCCTACGGATTTGTGTAAACACAGAATGTGTTATTTATTATGAACAACCTTATTACACACAACATGGCTACATTCGTAATAAGTACTGAATGTTTTAAATGTATGAGTAATTTGTGGTAATCTCATAAAACATAAATAAAATGGTGGGAGCAGACTCATATGCTGACATGCATAACACAAGGTTTACTGTAAATAAAATAAGCTGTCACACAGACACAAAAGAGTGGCTTCCCACAGAGAAAGCCTAATCCTCTGAAAAGATTAGGATTATTGATTGTCTGGAGCCAACCCTAAACGGACTACCCTAAATTATACTGCCTAGATGTTGCTGGTTAATCACTGTCCCCAACTACTCTTTTCTGTATGCAGGTACATGGAGGAAGGTAGTTAGAGCGGGGGGGTATTGGCTTTACCTGTGATGCCCCACTGGCCTTGAGGATCTGCCCCTGCAGCTGAGGAATGTGCTTCTTAACTTCCTGGATGTCTTTCAGTAGTTTGGGGGAGGGGTTCCTGCTGTACTCCTCCTTCATGGCCTTTACAACAAGATGATGGAAATCAACAAGCCATCAGGACCAGAAGTATCTCATTATTTGTAAACAATCAGGTTGGTAAACATATGCCATATATGGTCTCTGGTCATAAACGTGGGATGTTTTGGAAAACACTGCCTCAATTCTCAGTCCACCACATGAATACAGCGGTCTTATCACACACACTGCTTGTCTCCTACCCAAAGCAATGTTCTATTTAAAGATGGATGAGAGCAGAGCCTTTCATTTTCAACACAGACAATAACAGACAGCATTCCTCAATAGGTGTTAGATATGAAAGGATGAAAATCACCTTGCTGTTGCAAACACCTACCAAGAAAAACAGTGTTACAAATTAGAAAGCCAGTAAGTGGCAGTGATTGTTATGCTAACCTGCAGCTCCTGCTGCTCTTTGGAGAGCATCCTTTGCAGCATGTCAACCTTCTGGTTGCAGACGCTGCTATTTTCATCCTTTGGGGAAAAAACAAAAAAAGGAAAGTTAAAAAGCATTTGGAAGAATTGTGCATTAGAATAGGTATCCAAGCAATTTTTTTTATATAGGTAATCCGATTGCATTTTAAAAACATTTGAAAGAAAGGATGAGTTATAGAGATTCACTGAAAGAAAGAGAAATATAACCCAGGTGAAAATCCCCAAGATGAAGGAGGATGAAGAAGGGAGGCAAGAGATAGAAATAGGGTGAAAGAAGTAACTGATGGTTACCCATGGTGACTGGGTGGAGGAGAGGCGGTCCAGAGGACTGTAGGGGCGTTCTGTTGCTGGGGAGTTTGGAGAAGAAATACTAACGCCCAACATTTCAGACTCTGCTTCAGACAAGGGGATCTGGGCGAGCCCCGGAGGACGCCCCAATACTGTGAGGGCCACATAGGAGCCGGCTAGGATGAAGAAATCAAAGCAAAGTGTCAGTTTTACTTAAAGGTTTATTTAAATGTGGCTTTTGCTGAAACACAGACAAAGATACTTACATTTGATTAGCTTAACCACCTCTATGTGATTAGAATGTGTAACAAGGGTCCCGTTAACCTGGAAGACAGCAATGGTACCATCAGGAGAATTCAAAAAACGAATTCCAAAACCTTATGATTTCACTTTGACATCAGATTACATCCAGAGTGTATACACTGAGAGACCAGCGGGTGGCAGTCTAGAGCCTCTGCATTGGCCTTGTACAGTCACTTTAGCAGTTTAAAGACATTGAGGCAGAGAACACAATACCTTGATGATCCTGTCTCCTGTCTGAACACCGGCCCGCATAGCAGCCCCATCTGGCAAGCACAGGAGAAAGAGTGTTAAGGAGAAGATGGGTAGTAAATAGAACCATTAAAAGAATGAAATGGATAGAGGGGATAACACACAAGACACACAGGATAATAATGCTTCATGATGCAACTGTTGATATTTCTGCCCAGTGAATACATCATACAGCACTGACAGGGCAGATGTCGCAAAGTGACTATTTGAGTGCTATTTTGAAAGACCATAACAGTGGTTATATTATGAGAAGGACCTGTTTCACAGCTCCACCCAAAACAAAGGGATTTACGCACGAGACAGGTTATTATGAGATCAACGTCTGACTCTGTAGTCAGCAGCACACAGCTGAGTTCTACTAATACACTACTTACACTGAACAAAAATATAAACGCAACACTTTTGTTTTTGCTCCCATTTTTCACGAGATGAACTCAAAGATCTAAAACATTTTCTATATACACAAAATAACCAGTTCTCTCAAATATTGTTCACAAATCTGAAAAAATCTGTGATAGTGAGCACTTCTCCTTTGCCGAGATAATCCATCCCACCTCACAGGTGTGGCATATCAAGATGCTGATTAGACAGCATGATTATTGCACAGGTGTGCCTTAGGCTGGCCACAATAAAAGGCCACTCTGAAACGTGCAGTTTTGCTTTATTGGGGGGGTCTGGGGGGGTCCGAAAACCAGTCAGTATCTGGTGTGAGGGGTAGGGGTAGGGTTAGGGTAATGTTGTGAATCGAGTGGCCTGTGTTCGTCGTCCATAACATACGCCTGCCCATACCATAACCCCACCACCACCATGGGCCACTCGATTCACAACATTACCCTAACCCTAACCCTACCCCTCACACCAGATACTTACTGGTTTTCAGACCCCCCCAGACCCCCCCAATAAAGCAAAACTGCACGTTTCAGAGTGGCCTTTTATTGTGGCCAGCCTAAGGCACACCTGTGCAATAATCATGCTGTCTAATCAGCATCTTGATATGCCACACCTGTGAGGTGGGATGGATTATCTCGGCAAAGGAGAAGTGCTCACTATCACAGATTTTTTCAGATTTGTGAACAATATTTGAGATAAATGGTTATTCTGTGTATATAGAAAATGTTTTAGATCTTTGAGTTCATCTCATGAAAAATGGGAGCAAGTGTTGCGTTTATATTTTTGTTCAGTGTATAATGTGCATTTTGGGCCCTGAGTGTTATCAATTGTTTTAACTGGTGTCACTAAAATAAGGGAAATTATCTAGTTTGATCACTTGGACTAAAAGTAAAAGTATTAACTGGAGCAGCTGCAGCAAGTGCTACAGATATTTGGTTTACTTTGTTGGTATAAATTATTCAGATGAAACTAAGTAGACTGCTCTTTGTGTTGAGTCAGTGACAAAAGCACAAATGGGGAGCCGTACAGGGATAGTCTAACACTGCCAAGCATGGATGACTGTGCAACAAAGGTCCTCGATCAGCTCCTTCCTCTTCTCTCTCCCACTACATTGGGTGTAATGTTTTTTGTGACCTGATAACAGCCCTCATCATCCTCTGCAGACAGTGAAAGACTGCTGGGGCCCACATAAGTATCCTGCAACGTCTTCTCTTTAGAAGACAACATGATAAAGCTTCAGCTACTGTGAAACTACTGAGGAGGAAATACACAGGGAATGGCTTCACTTCTCTAAGTAAGTGCCAGAGTGGGGATGGTTGCCGAGTCCCAATTACCCCTCACAGCTGTGAGTTCAGAGCCAACTACCATGACAGTTTGATGTCAGTGCATGAAGGTGGAGTCCACATCTATATTGCGAGCACTTAGACCAGAAGTAGTCGTTGTAACAACATATTTTTCTTCGTCCTTTTAAGTTCGGGACCTAACCTTACCTTCTTTGACAAGCTGCACAAACACTGGGTTGTCACCGCTGACAGTGAGCCCAAAGCCATTTTCATCTTTCTGGATGATTACACATCGCTGGACCAGACCTGCAAGTGAGACAGAAAGACATAACAGTCTTTTAAAAGGATCAGGAAGTCACAGAAGGAAATGTACTTCACTCACTGGCACCAGTATATCAAATAAAACTAAACTTTAGCTTACATTCCCAACAGTTGTTTTAAATAAACTGAAACATTTATTGTAAAACAATTCCAATTCCATATTCTGAGGTGGTTTAAGTGCTAGATATCTCAAAGGATAGATTCAAACTTTCTAAAGTCTATTCTAAAACAATACGCACATGCCTGTGTGTACTTCAATATAATTATTGATCTCTATTTGTTGTTCCTTCTGTCCTACTGACCTTCAATATATGTTTCACTTGTACTGAATTTGCTTTAGGAAGGGATCTTTTTGCAGCCAGTAAGGACATGAGGAACATTTACAGTGCCCCATGATGCATTCAATGTACGTGCATATGGTCATGCGAGTATTGTTTTAAGGGTGAACATGTGAAAAATGTCCTGTAACATATCAGCACATGACCCATCTTGTGTTTAGGATTCTTGTCAGGATAGCATGACAACATCGTCCCACGATTTGAGCATGTGCATCAAATAAAACATTTCTCAGGGAGCCTTTAGGTATTTTGGACACATTTAAAAAGAGTTTCTCATTCTTTACTGCCTCATTTTGGAACATGATACCAAAAATAATAATGATGATGGGCCTTCTGTGTGAAGATATGTTTTGGTTGTAGTCTCACAAGCCAGAAGGAGGAACGTTACTTTTCAGGTTTTGTTATGAGGTGTAGCGAAAACAGATTAGAGCTTATCTAATGTCTGGCTGACACTGACTAGACTTAGAAAACAGTACAGACAAAAGACCACACAATCCATAGAAGGCAAATCCTGAAAAATACGTTGTCTCATGATCTCATGAACAAGTAGTAAGAACACTTTGCAATAAGAGCAAGTCATCTGTAAACCTCTATACAATGCAGGATTTACAAGTAACCCACAATGAGTGAGGTGACCCTTGAACTGGTTTCTTGTGCAGAATCAAGCAGAGAGGTGAGTCGATCGATAAGGCAGTGCTGGGGTGGGGGTTGGAGAGTGGAAGGAACAGGAGCTAATACATGGAGGTTAGGGGAGGCAAAGGCCCCAGGCTGGGGGGAGGGGTGTGGAGAGAGGGTTAGGTAGAGCTGAGGGAGCAGGGGGAAGGGAAAGGGGGAGAGGGCAGGGGTGTCAGGGAAACAGATGAAGACATATGGGTTAAAGAGCTTATGTGAATGTGCCTCTCGATGTTGATCTTTGCCTCTATTCTAACAGTATTTCAGAGGTCTTTGGGTGGTGTTTATAAACCAGGAGCAGTGCTGACAGATCTCTGATCATGTTAATCCATCAAAGGTAATGCATTATTCAGCAGTTTGACTGATCTGTAATCGCACCACTAGCTGAATAGGAAATGTACTCTAGAGAATACACTGACCTTTAAAAGTTATAGCTTCCTTCTTTTTGTGTTTGAGGGGCTTAAGATTTTCTAAGTTGTAAGAATATCGCACACAAAGGTCAGTTATTTCCTCAAAGTTAAAAGTCTGCTTAAAGACATTTCAGAGGTTCAAGTGCCGAACCCAAAAGAGATAACTGGTTCAAACAGAGAACTATTATCCTTTGTTGAGTATGAAACTAAAGAGTTATCTTGATCAACTGTGTACTAGACAGAAATTAGACATCAGCGGAAACAGGTCCTTCCCGAAAGCTCCCTTCAGATTTGCTTTGTGAGACCAGGCACCTGATTAAAGTAGTTCTGTTGGGAACCAATTCAAATGAAATAAATTATCAATATCTGTCTCTATGTTAGGACAGTTGTTGTGAAAATGTTGTCACGTAAACTAACACCCGAGCTTCTAGTGTGATGAGGCTCCGTAATGATCCTGTTGAGGTGGATTATTTTCAAGGGCCGCTTTGATTTACTCTAGAAAGCAAGTCCCTGTAAGCTTGAAAGTATTATTTTCTGTGTGATCTTAACTTCTAAAACCATTTGCATGATCACTTAACTGACATTTTACATCAATATTAGGACATGGCTCAAGTATGGGATTATGGTTTATCGTAAACTATGTATCCTAGTAATCCAAAATCTTTGCTTTTAAGTAGTGAAAGTGACCTTTTCTCACGGTGGAAATAGGTACTAAAAATCATTTGATTGAGGTAAAAATTGTATTTAAGATGTATTTTGGCAAAAATATATACAAATAATTGATTAAACTCATGAATGTACAGTGGAATTAAAGTGGTTTTGATAGTAGAAAAAAAACAAAAACAAGGAGGACTAGACACTATGAATGCCTCACACTGGCTTTAGCCAATGCAATCTGGAGAATGATGAAATTATCAAAATAAATCTAGATTTTTTTTTAAAGGCATGATGCTAAATATTCCCTTCTTACAGCTTCTTAATATGTATGATGAACTGCTTTTCTTTATCTTGAATGATAGTGAACTATTTAATTACAGTTGATGAAGTGTGAATAAAAAAAGACACTACATTTAAGATGCCACATTGCCACAAAATGTAACAGGACTTACGAAACCATTCTCTGATTATAGTAGACCAAACAAGTGGCAGATGGACTGATAATGTAAATAATTGTTAGTTAGTTACGGCAGTCAAACGACATTCCATAAGGTGTGAGCTGCCAGAGAGGTGCAGAAAACCTCTCATGTCAGTTTCCAGAAACAGTCTGGATGATTACTCCATGATAAACTGTGTATTTCCCCGTTTATACAATATATTTATCTATCCGTTAAGATGATCTCTCATCACTAATTTTGTGACCAACCTAACCCATGCAAGACAGACCTTTGAGCATGCACTTAAGTATTATAATGAATAAACATATATGAAATAAAAGCAACTACTTATATTTCACTGTGATTTAAACAAAACATCTAGTGGCAATTTCACAGCACGATCTGAAGCATGTTTAGATGCAGCTGTCACAGCAGCCAATCCAACAGGAGCATCTTACCACAGGACTCAGGCTTCCCCTCTGCTAGCACACTGCTGCTGCCACTCTTCTGCACCACCAGAGCTTCTGCTCACAGCCCCCACCACGCAGACCACAGCGCAGACAGCACAGCAGCAAACAAACACATACATACACACAAACAGAACGAAAACCAACACAAGGAAAGGAAACACAAAACAGGAAAGAGAAAATTATGAGGGAGAAACAATCATGGGAGAAGAAAAATTAAACAAACAAAAAGGTAGTTTAATAAAACATAATGATCTAGACAGGCAGGAGTGCAGACACTAGAAATAAACTAGCTTGTTTTTTGTTGAAAGTACCATTTTTTAAATACCTCCCCTCCTATAGGGGTCACTCTAACAATCTATTGCGGCTACAATTACAGGGTCCACAATTTCATCCAACTTTGTATCCTGCATTAAAATAATGACCTTGATTGGTTTGAGTGAATACATTTTAAATTGCAACAGAACCTTTAAATAAAATCAACATTTTCAGTCCTTGATATCTGAACATATTATAATAATACTTATATGAATGGAATTGAGTCTTTGATTAAGGGCACCATTATGGTCAAACAGCAATGTCTTTAAGTAAGAAGAAGACAGTGGAATTGCATTTTCTGGTCTGTCAACAACAACAAAAGGTTATATTATTTACAAGTTGTGTCAACAGAGCTGATGATAAAAATAAACTAAATAAAGTTGCAGCTTATAATAAAAAGGAAGGATATTTTAGTATAAGTATTGCCTTTTAAAAAGGTAATAAATAACCTAATTACTGCACATGATTCCTTTGTAAACAAGGGAATCTCAAGAGTCAGCGTAAACATCAGTTTCCGCAGCATCTCACTACTCCTGCCCATCCCTAATAAACTCAAACCGTTTTGAAATGATGACAGAGCAGTGCATTCAGGAGAAAATCTGCAAAAAAGACAGTGAAAGAGTTTGTCCAGAAAACTAGAAGGGAAAGATAGTAGCACCATGCAGGCATGCAAAAGGCCATGACAAGAAATGATCATCTAGGAAGCACGTAAAGATTTAGGTTTCAGTTAAATGAAGATTTCTATGTTTTTACTTAAAACTTGAACAGTTTAATAACTGCATCAGTCCAAACATAGACAACCATCAGAAATAGGTGGAAAGCATATTTTACTGCGAGGCTACACATAGACAGGCCAAAAGTGCATGTATTGTGTAACCACTGAAAGAGCACATCTTGTCTATGTTGCGTTGCATCACACAGAGATAAGCCACCATGTGGCGCAGAGCATTTTCCATTTGGTTGGAATACAGAAGCTTCAGTCATATCTCTAATCAAACTGCCCTGATTGCTGACAAACACCACAGGGATTGTCCCCATATCAAACCAGTCTGTTTCTGAACTCTGAAGATCTCACCCTGCAATAAACTCAGAGCCCGAGTGCATAACAGGCTTAGTGGCTTTTTTGTGCCCTTCAAGAATGCTTTGAGACCACCCAACTTTGAACATATAAAACCCTCAGTGCACTGCATTATGTAGAACTACAAAAATCCACGAGGACTTTAACATGCAGCTGTAGATTTGTAGGTCCCATTATCAAACATGTCTTTGATTATTGGTTTAAAATCCACAGCATGTAATGCCAGAGTGAACTGGGATAATGCAGTGTAATGAGGATTTCATCATGAAAACATAGTATAGTGTCCATTAGTTGAATCAACACACAAAGAAAGACAATATCAAATAATGATTTCAAATCAGACCACTCAAGTCAAATGAATGTAGTAGTTTTTAAAGAGAGCACAAGGCATAGAGCAAGACATCACACACACACACACACACACACACACACACACACCACCGTTCACCTTCCCAGCATGCCTTGTGCATAAGACAAACCATCATCAGCACAATTGTTGTCAGAGACTTGGTTTGTATGTGTGTTTATAAAGAGAGGGATAGAAAAAGAGAGAGATATGTGTGAGAGGAAGAGAAAGAAGATAATGTGTCAGATAAAGTGATGCATAGAGATAGAGGAACAGGATGGAATGACACAGAGTTAAAGAGAAAGAGTGAATTAGAAAAACAGAAGAGCAGTGTGAGCCTGAAACAGAAAGTGGGATGTTACCTGTAGGGTCAAACTCATTGGAGGGAAGTGAGGTTTTGTCACTTTTGGGTTTCTTGTCCGGGGGGTGGTCTTTACTGAGAATGCTGCTGGATCTAGAGGGAGAGAAAACCCATGAGAAACGGGTGCCAACATGTTGGATTTTACCCAGTGTGTGTATTGTCACTGCATCTTGCTCTACTGCGACCCTGCATGTGCCTAAGATGCAGGCAAGTGAAGGTTCAGGAGGAATTACAGAAACAGCAATTGTTCGCATTTTGAATAATGTGGCAAGAGGAACTCCTAGTGTATGAATCGTGGCAAGTGTGTCTACTGTATAATGTGACAGCCAGAGAGGACGTGGAGTGCCCAGGGAGCAAGGCCAGAGAAAGGACGCTCCTCAGAGGAGGCGCTACAAAACCAGACTCCGGCTGAACCTCAGGAGGCTCTGTATGGCTGCCTCTGCCTATAGCGGCCCCAACTGTGAAAGGCCACTGTTCTGTTCACAGTGAAAGGCAGTGATGGACCGCCCTCAGAAGAGGGACCCCTTTGTCCCTCACTCTCTGTGTGTTTGTGTGTGTGAGTGTGAGGGAGGGGGGGTAGAGCGAGGGTATGTTTGGTCCAAGCTCTGAAGACTTCTGTGTTGCAGCACAGCAGTTCCTAGTAAAAACCTGCCTCATTTCCTTCATCTGGAGCTCTGTGCCTGAACTTCTGGTGTATACGTGCGTGTGTGTGTGTGTGTGTGTGTGTGTGTGTGTGTGTGTGTGTGTGTGTGTGTGTCCGTCCGTCCGTCCACAGGACTACCTTTCCATAAACATGCATACATATTTGCAATACAAAATAAAGATTCTTACCTGTTTGCTTTCTTGGGAAACCTGTAAGATAAAAGAGAAAGTTCATCAGTATCTAAAAGAAAGGAACTTATAAGACAACACACTTTATAAAGCAAAGAAAAGCTGAGCTCTTCATGCCTATATGAAGGATGAAAAACAAGATGTCAAGCTGACAGCTTCCGCTCAGACGCATATAGTGGTAAACATGATAATCCTGATCAAACCAGAGTTCTTCGGCTGCAGATTAAAGCCTTTTCCAGGTCAAATGTTCGCTGCCTCTCAGATCTCAGTTGTGTGTGTGTGTGTGAGTGTGTGTGTGTGTGTGTGTGTGTGTGTGTGTGTGTGTGTGTCATGATTGACTTCCTCACAGACATCATGACTTGACTGTAATAATCCTATAGTCACATCCATGGCCTGTTTCCCTTCGAGGCAGCTCGCCCTGAGACCGATTACTGCCTCAGAGTGATGCACTGATGAAATCATTTACAGACACTGTCAGCACCATATTGGAAAAGAACATGTTTTCCAGGAGGCTAGTGATTTTTTTTCATTGATTTGCTGTTAGGCAGGAGCAAATAGAGAACACAGATTTACAATTTAGATTGAAGGAGATACTACACTGTTAATTAATTTTCCTAGAGTCCTAAGGTAGTACAGACAGGAATAATCAATTCTACATTCATGAGTTAAAGCCTCCATCCTCTCTTTTGGGCTGGACAGAGTATTAGCATGTGTGGGTGTTAGCTTCTCACAAAACTGACCCATCTGTAAATAGTTATTCATACACACGACCATATTTAACTCCAGTACTCTATTAAGGTTAATATGGAGGTTAAATAAGGGCACACGCCAAACTAGAAATTTACAAAACGACCCTTTATGTTTTACAATCCCTGTAAACCATTGAGATTATCTATGGCATAGCTATTTAAAAAGGCACATTTCATAAATCTTATTTGTAATGCACTATAAAATGAATGGAAAAACTCCTGAATACTTATGGATTTGGCCCTTCTTTCCCACAATAGGCGCGTTCACACCGCAGTACTTGTCCTACTTTAGTTCCGATATAGTTCCAAAATGTTGCGTTCACACAAAAAAGAGCCGGAACTCAAATTAGTTCATGAGAACCTTTTCACCCCCTTTATCGTCCCTGCTAGAGAGCAGGGACTTTCGTGGGAGACAAAGGTTCCTATGTCTGATTGGCTGGGCGGATTGCAAACCACGCCCCCCATTTTATTATCCTCGCATTAGCATTATTAGCATTGGCCCAGCGCAGAAACGCAGAGACTAACTTATGGCAACACAAAATAAAATATGGGAGCGGTGGAGATGAGGAGGTGTCGGCGTTCTGGCGATTTACTCGGAAGGCTGCTGGGAGTCCCAGCAGCTTCTACTGAAGCCAATCCCCAACTCCGGGGACTTCCGGCCGGGGACTTTGGGCGGCAGTATACGCCGTGAAGTGGTTTGCGGCCTGCCAGTAAACCCAAAGCAGAAGAAGAAGAAGTGACGTCAGCGGCTTCATTTGCCTAATCCTCCCCCAGGGATTTATTCCGGTGTGAACGCGATCTGTACTTAGTTCATGAGAACTAAAGAGTTCTCATGAACTAAGTTCTCATGAACCTTTAGGCGCATTCACACCGAAGTACTTTTCCCACAAAGGTTCATGAGAACTCTTTAGTTCTCATGAACTAAGTACAGATCGCGTTCACACCGGAATAAATCCATGGGGGAGGATTAGGCAAATGAAGCCGCTGACGTCACTTCTTCTTCTTCTGCTTTGGGTTTACTGGCAGGCCGCAAACCACTTCACGGCGTATACTGGGGACTCCCAGCAGCTTCTACTGAAGCCTTCCGAGTAAATCGCTAGAACGCCGACACCTCCTCATCTCCACCGCTCCCATGTTTTATTTTGTGTTGCCATAAGTTAGTCTCTCTGCGTTTCTGCGCTGGGCTAATGCTAATAATGCTAATGCGAGGATAATAAAACGGCGGCTTCACAACAATTTTTGGGAGTTTTACGGGGCGTGGTTTGCAATCCGCCCAGCCAATCAGACATAGGAACCTTTTTCTCACACGAAAGTCCCTGCTCTCTAGCAGGGACGGAAAAGGGGGTAAAAAGGTTCTCATGAACTAATTTGAGTTCTGGCTCTTTTTGGTGTGAACGCAACATTTCGGAACTATATCGGAACTAAAGTGGGAAAAGTACTGCGGTGTGAACACGCCTATTGTTTCATTTATTTATTTTTTATTGTGATGAAGTCTTGAGCATGGAAAAGAAGGATGTCTCAGACAGGAAATAAATAACTCAATATATATTTTAAGCTTAAATGATTTATTTAGGGCATATTAGATAGGAATGTCATGTCAAGTAAGGTTTGACATTTTTCATAATGCTTAAAGAAATGTAATAGGACAAAGGGAATACAAAATCAGATATCACTTTGAACTGCGCTGGTATTCTTCAAAATGTAAATGCACACTATTATAATAGAAAACAGTAACAGGAATCACTACACCAGTCTTCAGTAATAGGGAGGACTAACTAGCCCACATTAACTCTCTTTCTCCTGGCGACAGTGTGTCCCATTCAGAGCTAGCTGAATGGCCCGTTTATGAACATGCCTCAGACTGTAATAAGTTCCAGAGCCTCCAGCAGAAAAAAAACTAGCTTTAAGTAGCCCACTCCCTAAGAAACCTCTGAATTGGAGAGATGGAAAAGTCAGCACATAAACACACACTGAGCTGGGACATGCCTACGTACAAGCTATGGGACGGCAAAACTGAGTAGGCACATGTTGGTTTTGGTTCAACATTAAGGAACAAATGAAAATGTTCACAGGCAAACTAAGGGGCTGGGTGATGCAGCATGCCGTCTATAATGGCTTTGAGAAATAATGTTGTACACAACTACAGGAGGATTTATTTAAGGTTAAAACTGTTTGAATTGAAATGTAAAATAACTTTGTTAGAATTGGTTGGTATCTATATCTCAAATAACTATGAATACATGACTAAAGTTCTAAAACGTATTGACCTGTCTAAGGTTTATTTGAGAGCGTCAGAGAAGGAAAAGGGAGGTCATGAAGAAAGATCACAGCAATGGACAGTAAGAAGAGAACAGAGGGAACTAGAACCCCTGAGAAATGTTGAGGAGGCATCAGGAGTACTGGAACACAAGATAAAAAAAAATGGGCTGATTAAAAGAGAAACGGGCTTCAAATAGAAAAAAGTATAAACCAATGGAATGGCTTGGAAGTCAAAGGCCCCTTGTTTCCCCTGGCAACCAAATCAGAATCCTTGTAAACTGTTAAGGTTGTTAACAACTTTTTCAATGTTAGTTTTGAAAACAAGACTTTCTGCCTTATGTTCTCCTACCTCCACCAACTAGCCAACTAGCCGTTTGTAACATAATATGAATTGAAGACTTTTTGAGGGATTCAATAAAAAGCATTAAGTGTATTTTCTGGTAAAAATGGATTGTGTGTTTCCAGTGAGAAACATGGAAGAAGCTCAATAATATTAATATCAATGAGCTGGAGGTAGACTAAATGAGGAACCACCTGTCTGGTTGTCATCAAGGAAGAGAAGGTAAAGACTCAGAGGGTCTTGAACCATTTCTACCGGTTTGCCTAAATGCTGCACTCTTTCTCATCTGCTCTCCTCCCTGTACACCAACTCGACTCTCTAGCTCCTGAAGTTGGCAGATAACTTCATCCACCTCAGAGGATGTACTTCCTGCATCAGCTGACAAGGTCAACCTGGCACTGGCAGAGACAATGATGGTGCACTTTTACACCGCCATCATTGAGTCCATCCTCACGTCCTCCATCACTAGCTAGGAATGCTCTTACAGTTGTGAATAGGGGCGACCGCAGTGTATCATTCGCTCTGCTGAGAAGTGCAATCTGCTGTCCATCCAGGAACTGTACACTTCTAAAATCCTTATAAAGGTATGATAGCTGACCCCAAACAGCTGGGAACAAGCTTTTTGAATAACTCTCCTCTTGTAGGAGGCTACAGTCCATCAGGACTTAAACCTGACACTCAGTGTTTCCGCCAGACCAGGGCTGAGAGGGCGTCTACCCCGAGAGACGTCACGTCGTGTCACGTGACTTGAATTTTGAATTGAGCTGTCCCTTAAGTTATAGATACTATCTCTTTACGTATTAGTGATGGGAATTCTCGCTTTTTTTAGTGAGCCGGATCATTTGGCTCGGCTCACTAAGAAGAGCCGGTTCTTTCGGCTCCTAAACGGCTCTTCATGTTACCACAGTTTACCACGGAGCCTCAGTTTCGTCGCTGCGAGGCTCTGGCGCTCACAGTTCACGCGCATGCTCCACTAGCATGCTCCACTAGCATGCTCCACTAGCATGCTCCACTAGCACCCCCCGTCAAGGCTTGCCGGCAGTACACTTTCCGTCACAGGAACATGCTTTGCTGGCGGCAAAAATAAGCCCACCAGACTCCTTTGTCCCTCCAACAGAGGGATGTCCTTGTCCTTTTTCGTCATTTCAAGCGATAAAAGCTCGATCTTCTCTCTAATTATTTATTTTTTTGGACGCCCTCGGCTCGAGTTCAGGGCGTTCCGAGCTGAATAAGGGCGTCAAATGACGGCAAGACGCAGCCCTGGCGGAAACGCTGCTCACACCTAAAAAAGAGATTATTTCTGACTGCACTGAGCCTCATCCCCCACTGACATTTCTGATTCTGAAATTGGATGGGACACATCACTCAAACACATCTGTAACCAGGAAACACAGACTATATTTTGATATTCGCCACAGTTCAGATGGATACCAACGATATCCGATTTACCTTTTGGATATCAAACGTCATCACTTTATCGTGCTAGGTGTCAACATTAGCATACAGTTTCTTGGGACTTTGACCTTTAAGAATCCAATGCTAGCCAGCTCAAACATAAATCCACATGGATATTTGTGGCAAATTTGATTAAAATATCCCTCTTGGCATCAATGAGATATAACTCTCACGATAATGGGATAGACGGATAATTAGAAAACATAACTTCAGGCATT